ACGTTTCAAGTTATATATGCAGAACTTGAATAGTTTTGAACAATTTTGCACAAACTTTGAGTTGCTTTGAACAAGTTTGTGGTTTTTTTTGGCTAATTTTTAATTCATTCTGCACAATTTTTGACTAATTTTGAACTACTTTTAAGTCATTTTGTGCATATTTGAGTCAATTCCGACTTTATTTTGTCATTTTTGAGGGATTTTGCAACACATTGGACAACTTTACAGCTCCATGATGTGAGCTGCGTTACATTTAGCTGCTGAGTTCGAGAAAGTCTTATTTTCACACTGGAACAAACCGGCTAATGAAAATATCCGTTATTAGATCAGAAAGCAAGAATACTGGTTGGAAAATCCTGTTGCAGCCAAAAAAAAAAGAAAGAACATCCATCGCAGGGTGCTCATTTCTGCCTCATTTCAGTCAGATGGTTTAAAGTATGTTTTTGTTTCCCTAAGTTCCTCCAATAAAAGTGGAGAAAGTCGGTCATATTAATGTGAACGATCCTTTTCCTCCACATTTCCTGCTTGACCACCGGCACAATAAAGTGACCCATATTCACTCGTTGTCGTGTGTTTTTGAGGTGAAAACTCTCTTCTGCAGCTCCGTCCACACTTAAACTCTCGGAGCGCCACAGTTTTCTCCCCACAGGAGCAGCAATTAAAGGCAGCACCTTTGTTCCAAATGTTTGAGGCGTCTTTGCAGAGATTGCGGAGCTTTTAATGAAATATTGATTTTTATTGTACAGAAGTCGTTGTTGGGGCCGCCGCTGAATGCATTACAAGTTAACAGTGAATTGTTACTGTGCAGCTCTCGGCACTAAAAACTGCCACATAAGAGCTTTTGTTCTGGGTTGTGGGGGGGCGGGGGGGGTAAATCACGGAGCTCGTCTTGGTCCCATTACAAACTGGGACACAAATTTCCACGGTGCCGACAGGGATATCTTCTAACCGATCGCCTCGCCTCTCTCAGAGCAGATTGGGAAAGATTCAGACTGATAGCAGGTTAAAAAACAATTTCAACACCTGCGGTTTGTCATGCACCGTTTCTTCAAAGTTATATTCGGCAGATGTGGAGGGACTGAACCATTAGTTTAATGTACTGCTGAATGCAGGAGCCCAGAAAAGGAAACCACATATTTCAGGTCTGCGTGACAGAAAATGCAGTGCTCTTCTGGATGTTTTAACACCTCCCACACCTCCTCATGTCTGTGGCTTTTATCAATATCCTATAAAATCCAACTGTAAAATGTAGTTTGTGTATCAGCTCAGTGTCGTATACCACAAATTAGCCTCAAGGAGCTTCACAAACCACAGCATCCAACATTCTGAAGCCTTAATATGGCAGAAATTACATTCCGAGGCAACTTAATTGCTCTCCCAGTTGCATTTAGGTATCAGAGTGTGGATTATGGTCAGTCAGCAGGAGGAGATCGGGGTGGATGGTGGGCGTGTAAAGCCCTAAACTCACACCAGGACACTTTGGCTGAAGAAAGATGGTGGTTCCATCCATCCATCCATTTTCTATACATCGCTTAATCCTCACTAGGGTCGCGGGGGGCTGGAGTCTATCCCAGCCGACTTAGGGTGAAGGCAGGTTCACCTGGACAGGTAACCAGTCTATCACAGGGCTACACTTAGAGACAGACAACCAAGCACACTCACATTCACACCTACGGACAATTTAGAATCACCAGTTAACCTCAACATGTTTTTGGACTGTGTGGGAGGAAGCCGGAGAACCCGGAGAGAACCCACGCTGCACGGGGAGAACATGCAAACTCCACACAGAAAGATCCCGGTGCCCGGACGCGAACCGGCGACCTTCTTGCTGCGAGGCAACAGTGCTACCAACTGCGCCACCTTGCAGCCCAAGATGGTGGTTGTGTAGCGTAAATAAACATCTTGTCTTTCAGTTTTAACCCAGAACTCGCCAGAAGGTTTTCCTTTTAAAAAACAAAAACAAGAAAAAACACCCAAATGTTGTGATTGATTAGAGCCGGAAACTGTAAAAACAGAAAGAATTGTCCAAGTTTTAGCTTTACCATGGTACCTGAATGCATCATGCCAGACATATGGTTCTGACAGGAAAACTTACCCAACATTGATGTTAACAACCTGAAAGTTGTTTTATTTCATCAGAATCACTTTATTCTATGTGACGGATTCAAAAATTAGGCGGAAATG